CACCCCCGCGGCCCACACCCGCGGCTCCGACACGTACACGGTGCGGATCTCCGACATGACGAACTCCGACAGCACGTTCTGCACCCAGTGGTGCACCTGCTCGGGGCCCTCCCTCAGCTCCACCTCTCGGACCCCGAGGACGTAGCGCTTGAGCCGGGGGCCCTCCACCTGGTACGCCGTGAGGACGTAGCAGGCGTCTGGTCCTGACATGTGTGAGTGACAGGTGACGGCGATGCCCAGAGAGGCGTTGGAGCCCAGCGCACACGTGACCTTCACCTTCACCTGGTTGTACATGCGCGGCAGCTGGCGCAGCGCCAACGCGCTCATGTTTCCCAGAGCGTCGCGGGTCGAGTAGGCGCCGTGGCGAGCGCCGGTGTCCACCAACGTCTGCGCCAACTTCAGGAAGTCTTTACTGTTGATCACACTCAACATGTTCAGGTCTGAGCACATGACGCGCAGCAGGCGCTCGGCCACCTGCTGCCGCTCCTTCTCCGGGAGGCCGTTATTCTCTGGACACACAACACCACACAAGCATTAGACACACACAACACACCACACAAGCATCATTCACACACAACACAATCATTAGACACACACAACACACCACACAAGCATTAGACACACACAACACAATCTTTAGACACACACCACACAAGCATTAGACACACACAACACACCACACAAGCATCATTCACACACAACACAATCATTAGACACACACAACACACCACACAAGCATTAGATGCACACTACCACAACTCTCTGGTCTCTCTCTCTGGTCTCTCTCTGGTCTCTCTCTCTGGTCTCTCTCTCTCTGGTCTCTCTCTCTCTCTGGTCTCTCTCTCTCTCTGGTCTCTCTCTCTGGTCTCTCTCTCTGGTCTCTCTCTCTCTGGTCTCTCTCTCTCTGGTCTTTCTCTCTGGTCTCTCTCTCTCTGGTCTTTCTCTCTGGTCTCTCTCTCTGGTCTCTCTCTCTCTGGTCTCTCTCTCTGGTCTCTCTCTCTGGTCTCTCTCTCTGGTCTCTCTCTCTGGTCTCTCTCTGGTCTCTTTCTCTGGTCTCTCTCTCTCTGGTCTCTCTCTCTGGCCTCTCTCTCTGGTCTCTCTCTCTCTGGTCTCTCTCTCTGGTCTCTCTCTCTGGTCTCTCTCTCTGGTCTCTCTCTGGTCTCTCTCTCTGGTCTCTCTCTCTGGTCTCTCTCTCTGGTCTCTCTCTCTGGTCTCTCTCTCTGGTCTCTCTCTCTGGTCTCTCTCTCTGGTCTCTCTCTGGTCTCTTCTCTCTGGTCTCTCTCTCTCTGCTCTCTCTCTCTGGTCTCTCTCTCTGGTCTCTCTCTCTCTGGTCTCTCTCTCTGGTCTCTCTCTCTCTGGTCTCTCTCTCTGGTCTCTCTCTCTCTGGTCTCTCTCTCTCTGGTCTCTCTCTCTGGTACTCACGAGGATAGGTGTGGTTTCTCTGTGTGAGACCTTGAGGCTGTATCTGTAGTTTCACTGAGGATAAGAACTGGGCCTGAGAGCCTCTCCAGAGCTGCTCCTGAGGACCCGAGGCTGAGGAGGTCTTTGGAGAGTCCCCTTTGGTATGATTCTCACTGTGAGCTGCGGAAACACAAAAACAACACACATCAGACCCATACAACACAAAAACAATCAATATATGTTTATCTGTGCAATAATAAACTGTGCTGCTAAAATGTACAGTACTTTATTATGCTAAAGCTAGAGATTTATTCAGGGCAAAAAACAAATACATTAAAATGAATAGATTCAACTGAAGTGGCCCAAAAGAGTTTGGACATCCCTGCTCTAAACGTTAGCATCTCTCTCTGGTCTCTCTCTCTGGTCTCTCTCTCTGGTCTCTCTCTCTGGTCTCTCTCTCTGGTCTCTCTCTCTGGTCTCTCTCTCTGGTCTCTCTCTGGTCTCTCTCTCTGGTCTCTCTCTCTGGTCTCTCTCTCTGGTCTCTCTCTCTGGTCTCTCTCTCTGGTCTCTCTCTCTGGTCTCTCTCTCTGGTCTCTCTCTGGTCTCTCTCTGGTCTCTCTCTCTGGTCTCTCTCTTGGGGTCTCTCTCTCTTGGGTCTCTCACTGGTCTCTCTCTAGTCTCTCACTGGTCTCTCACTGGTCTCTCACTGGTCTCTCTCTGGTCTCTCTCTGGTCTCTCACTGGTCTCTCACTGGTCTCTCACTGGTCTCTCTCTGGTCTCTCTCTGGTCTCTCTCTGGTCTCTCTCTGGTCTCTCTCTGGTCTCTCTCTGGTCTCTCTCTGGACTCTCTCTGGTCTCTCTCTGGTCTCTCTCTGGTCTCTCTCTGGTCTCTCTCTGGTCTCTCTCTGGTCTCTCTCTGGTCTCTCTCTCTGGTCTCTCTCTCTGGTCTCTCTCTCTGGTCTCTCTCTCTGGTCTCTCTCTCTGGTCTCTCTCTGTTGCTCCAATCTAAAGTAAAATCCCTTAAATATTCAAATAAACCATGACAGTCTTAATAAATAATAATAATAATAATAATAATAGAGTCGGTGTTGAGTCTGTGTTTGAGGCTGTTCTGTCGTGTCTTTGTCATGAAAGTGCAACAGGTCAAATAATACATAATAAGATGAAAAGAGGAAAACACAGAGAATCCTGCTTTGATTCAGTGAAGAGAGAAAAGGTGTGGCTCTCACTCTGAGCTGCAGTAAACGAACTGGCCACCAGGGGGCTCGGAGCGCCTGCAAAACACACACCGTGATGCTGCATCTGCATATTTATATATTTATTATATATTTACATTAAACTGTGGATGGAGAGAATAAAGGAATCCTCCAAACAGAGAAAGGCGACTCCGCACAAACACATCACAAAACAAATACATAAAGTTCTGTTCAAATTCACTCTTTTTAACACACTGTGGTTAATTATTATATCTATGATTTTAGTCCCATGTGTGAATCTAATGTTTTTATGATTTTCAACTTCTTCTGTGATTTTATTTTCTGCGTTTTTAATATATATTTAATATTTCTTGTGATATTAATCAATCAAAATGTATTTAAATTGTATTTTTAAATCATATTTTTGTGTTTCCTTTTGTAGAAAAGGTGCTCTACAGACTGTCACCGCTTCTTCGGCAAAAATATTTACATTCACAGAAAATAATCAAACTGTGAGCGACAAGTGAAGACTGTAGTTGGAGAAATAGTTGTTTTTTATTCATTTTGAGACATTTTCCAAAGAGAGAGCTCTGTTTTTATAAACATGAGACCAGCGGAAAACTCACCGCTCGAATTCTGCAAACTGTTGGTTTCCACGAGGCTCGACTGAAATGTGCTCTCCAGTTTCCTTCTGAATGGACTGTCTACAAACACAGAGAGAGAGAGCACACAGAGAGAGAGCACAGAGAGAGAGAGAGAGAGCACAGAGAGAGAGAGAGAGAGAGAGCACACAGAGAGAGAGAGAGAGAGACAGCACACAGAGAGAGAGAGCACACAGAGAGAGAGAGCACACAGAGAGAGAGAGAACACAGAGGGAGAGAGAGAGAGAGAGAGCACAGAGAGAGAGAGAGAGAATACAGAGAGAGAGACAGCACACAGAGAGAGAGAGCACACAGAGAGAGAGAGCACACAGAGAGAGAAAGCAGACAGAGAGAGAGAGAGACAGCACACAGAGAGAGAGCGAGGGACAGCACACAGAGAGAGAGAGCACACAGAGAGAGAGAGAGAGAGAGAGAGAGAGACAGCACACAGAGAGAGAGAGCACACAGAGAGAGAGAGAACACAGAGAGAAAGCACACAGAGAGAGAAAGCACAGAGAGAGAGAGAGAGCACAGAGAGAGAGAGAGAACACACAGAGAGAGAGAGAGAGAGCACAGAGAGAGAGACAGCACACAGAGAGAGAGAGCACACAGAGAGAGAGAGAATACAGAGAGAGAGACAGAGAGAGAACATAGAGAAGGATTAGAACCAGGTCTGGACTCTGGAGGAAGAGAATCAAAACATGAACACATTTCTCAGATTCTTGTCTCAGTCCTGGGTCTACAGCCTCAGTCCTGGGTCTACAGCCTCAGTCCTGGGTCTACAGCCTCAGTCCTGGGTCTACAGCCTCAGTCCTGGGTCCACAGCCTCAGTCCTGGGTCCACAGCCTCAGTCCTGGGTCTACAGCCTCAGTCCTGGGTCTACAGCCTCAGTCCTGGGTCTACAGCCTTAGTCCTGGGTCCACAGCCTCAGTCCTGGGTCCACAGCCTCAGTCCTGGGTCTACAGCCTCAGTCCTGGGTCTACAGCCTCAGTCCTGGGTCCACAGCCTCAGTCCACAGCCTCAGTCCTGGGTCTACAGCCTCAGTCCTGGGTCCACAGCCTCAGTCCTGGGTCCACAGCCTCAGCCACAGCCTCAGTCCTGGGTCTACAGCCTCAGTCCTGGGTCTACAGCCTCAGTCCTGGGTCTACAGCCTCAGTCCTGGGTCTACAGCCTCAGTCCTGGGTCTACAGCCTCAGTCCTGGGTCTACAGCCTCAGTCCTGGGTCTACAGCCTCAGTCCTGGGTCACAGCCTCATCCTGGGTCCACAGCCTCAGTCCTGGGTCTACAGCCTCAGTCCTGGGTCCACAGCCTCAGTCCTGGGTCTACAGCCTCAGTCCTGGGTCCACAGCCTCAGTCCTGGGTCTACAGCCTCAGTCCTGGGTCTACAGCCTCAGTCCTGGGTCTACAGCCTCAGTCCTGGGTCTACAGCCTCAGTCCTGGGTCCACAGCCTCAGTCCTGGGTCTACAGCCTCAGTCCTGGGTCACAGCTCAGTCCTGGTCACAGCCTCAGTCCTGGGTCTACAGCCTCAGTCCTGGGTCCACAGCCTCAGTCCTGGGTCTACAGCCTCAGTCCTGGGTCTACAGCCTCAGTCCTGGGTCCACAGCCTCAGTCCAGTACTCACTCTTCATCTTGCTGCTTTGGCTCGGTCCATATTTACTGATGTCCAGAGCAGAACTGTCCTGAGCCTTCAGAGGCTTCAAGTCAAAGGTTCCTTTAAAGAACAAAACAGCATGACACTGAGGGTTAAAGCTGAGGTACGTAACTTTAAAACACAACAAAAATACATCTCACTCGTGCCTCGCTCTAATGGTGCTTTCAGACTGCCAACGCTGAAACGCTGAAGCCCCGCTCACCAGACACACATTCTCTAGTTTTCAAACGCACGGGTCTTCAGACCGAGATTTCCTGACGCGCACCAGAAGTACCAGAAGTACCAGAAGTACCGGAAGTAGCCGGCCGGCTCTGATGCTAACAGAGCTATGCTAGCGGCTTCTTGTGCACAGATCTTCTCCAATATGCAGCTTCGCAGCGTGTCTTTGCTCAGAGACATTCCACGGACTTTATATAACAGCAGTTTGTGTTCACGGAGGTGACTTTATATAACAGCAGTATGTGTTCACAGTGACTTTATATAACAGCAGTATGTGTTCACAGTGACTTTATATAACAGCAGTATGTGTTCACAGTGACTTTATATAACAGCAGTATGTGTTTACAGTGACTTTATATAACAGCAGTATGTGTTCACAGTGACTTTATATAACAGTAGTATGTGTTCACAGTGACTTTATATAACAGTAGTATGTGTTCACAGTGACTTTATATAACAGTAGTATGTGTTCACAGTGACTTTATATAACAGTAGTATGTGTTCACAGTGACTTTATATAACAGTAGTATGTGTTCACAGTGACTTTATATAACAGTAGTATGTGTTCACGGAGGTGCGGCGTACGTTCTTTCATATTATAAAACAGTATTTCCGCATCGGTGAACACACTCGAAGCAGTTGCATAAAGCTCACCGCACACCGAAACGCAGCGCCTCGCGGCGCGTCATTTGACGCGCGTTCATGACATGTGTCAAATTACACCGGAACGCCTTGGCTAGCGTCCTTTTCCAGCTGATCGCAGATGAAATGGGTGAGTGACGTTTGGAAGTTTCTACTAATATTTTGGGGGAGGAAACAAAGTATTTACGTGAAATTATGCTGGCAAATATTACAAGAAAAGACTATTTGGACCCATTTTTTAAACAGGCTAATAACTAGCTCTGGGTAACGCTGTACTTGGGTTATCAAGCTTTCCTCGTCCATTGTGACCGGTTTACTTGAGCAATAGCGCCGACAAGTGTGTAAATTTGAGACCGCGCTCACAGCTACGTGATAAGAAGCGCAGAAGAAGAAAACTACGGGTGCTTGGAGGGACAGTTTCAGCCGCGGCGCCGCGTCTGGATTCAACAAAACTGAATCGTGGCGCCCGGTCCAGCGTCGCCGCGCGTCACTGCAACCTTGGTGTGCGTTCTCTCATAGAAAATAAAGGAGGCGGCTCTTTTGCCGCGCGTCAAGGCGTTTCGGTGTGCGTTGGGCTTAAGGTCACAGGAGCATGACAACGCATATTTTCACAAGCACAGAGTCCCCCATTGTCAGCCCTGGTTTGAGTTCTGGTGAAGTCTGGTGTGGGTCCTGTTTTGGCTGTTTACAGTATGTTCAGTCTGCTCGCTCAGTCCGCTGATGTCCCCGTGACCACTTTGCTGCTCTCTGATTGGTTGTCGCACGAACGTCCCAAGGAAAGGATGAGCAGAATCCATCTCCTGTGGGCGTCCATTTTTCGCTCCTGCTCCTCCCTTTTGACTTTCCCGCCAAGTCCGTGTGTCTCTACTGAACAGTCCGTGTGTCTCTACTGAACAGGGTGTGTCTCTACTGAACAGTCCGTGCGTCTCTACTGAACAGTCCGTGTGTCTCTACTGAACAGTCCGTGCGTCTCTACTGAACAGTCCGTGCGTCTCTACAGAACAGTCCGTGCGTCTCTACTGAACAGTCCGTGCGTCTCTACTGAACAGTCCGTGCGTCTCTACTGAACAGTCCGTGCGTCTCTACTGAACAGTCCGTGCGTCTCTACTGAACAGTCCGTGCGTCTCTACTGAACAGTCCGTGTGTCTCTACTGAACAGTCCGTGTGTCTCTACTGAACAGTCCGTGCGTCTCTACTGAACAGTCCGTGCGTCTCTACTGAACAGTCCGTGCGTCTCTACTGAACAGTCCGTGCGTCTCTACTGAACAGTCCGTGCGTCTCTACTGAACAGTCCGTGCGTCTCTACTGAACAGTCCGTGCGTCTCTACTGAACAGTCCGTGCGTCTCTACTGAACAGTCCGTGCGTCTCTACTGAACAGTCCGTGTGTCTCTACTGAACAGTCCGTGCGTCTCTACTGAACAGTCCGTGCGTCTCTACTGAACAGTCCGTGTGTCTCTACTGAACAGTCCGTGTGTCTCTACTGAACAGTCCGTGCGTCTCTACTGAACAGTCCGTGCGTCTCTACTGAACAGTCCGTGTGTCTCTACTGAACAGTCCGTGCGTCTCTACTGAACAGTCCGTGCGTCTCTACTGAACAGTCCGTGTGTCTCTACTGAACAGTCCGTGTGTCTGAACGCTCGACTGAACAGTCCGTGCGTCTCTACTGAACAGTCCGTGCGTCTCTACTGAACAGTCCGTGTGTCTCTACTGAACAGTCCGTGTGTCTGAACGCTCGACTGAACAGTCCGTGTGTCTCTACTGAACAGTCCGTGTGTCTCTACTGAACAGTCCGTGCGTCTCTACTGAACAGTCCGTGCGTCTCTACTGAACAGTCCGTGCGTCTCTACTGAACAGTCCGTGCGTCTCTACTGAACAGTCCGTGCGTCTCTACTGAACGGTCCGTGCGTCTCTACTGAACGGTCCGTGCGTCTCTACTGAACGGTCCGTGCGTCTCTACTGAACAGTCCGTGCGTCTCTACTGAACAGTCCGTGCGTCTCTACTGAACAGTCCGTGCGTCTCTACTGAACGGTCCGTGCGTCTCTACTGAACAGTCCGTGCGTCTCTACTGAACAGGGTGTGTCTCTACTGAACAGTCCGTGCGTCTCTACTGAACAGTCCGTGCGTCTCTACTGAACGGTCCGTGCGTCTCTACTGAACAGTCCGTGCGTCTCTACTGAACAGGGTGTGTCTCTACTGAACAGTCCGTGCGTCTCTACTGAACAGTCCGTGTGTCTCTACTGAACAGTCCGTGCGTCTCTACTGAACAGTCCGTGTGTCTCTACTGAACAGTCCGTGCGTCTCTACTGAACAGTCCGTGCGTCTCTACTGAACAGTCCGTGCGTCTCTACTGAACAGTCCGTGTGTCTCTACTGAACAGTCCGTGCGTCTCTACTGAACAGTCCGTGCGTCTCTACTGAACAGTCCGTGCGTCTCTACTGAACAGTCCGTGCGTCTCTACTGAACAGTCCGTGTGTCTCTACTGAACAGTCTGTGCGTCTCTACTGAACAGTCCGTGCGTCTCTACTGAACAGTCCGTGCGTCTCTACTGAACAGTCCGTGTGTCTCTACTGAACAGTCTGTGCGTCTCTACAGAACAGTCCGTGTGTCTCTACTGAACAGTCCGTGCGTCTCTACTGAACAGTCCGTGTGTCTCTACTGAACAGTCCGTGCGTCTCTACTGAACAGTCCGTGCGTCTCTACTGAACAGTCCGTGTGTCTGAACGCTCGACTGAACAGTCCGTGCGTCTCTACTGAACAGTCCGTGCGTCTCTACTGAACAGTCCGTGCGTCTCTACTGAACAGTCCGTGCGTCTCTACTGAACAGTCCGTGCGTCTCTACTGAACAGTCCGTGCGTCTCTACTGAACAGTCCGTGCGTGCCGAGAGGTCCGTGCGTTGTGACGCTTGAACACTTGTCACTATAGCCTTTGCATTGAAAGCCGACGCCTGATCCGGTCTGAAAGCACCATAACACAGTTTCTGCAGTATCTATCAGTAGTTTTTATATGTTTTTAGATCAGCACCAGCCGCTCTCGGCCAATCAACTGTCAGCCCAAAAGTTATTCTAGCTTCTTTGTTATGCTAACGTTAGCAACTTTGACTGTTTTGGTAAAAAACAATAAATAATTTAAAGAAACTAAAGAGTTAGGTTCCTCAGCTTTAACACTGGGACTCCCAGACTCTGAAACTACGAGAACTGCCAGAGCAGTCATTTTGACTCCATTTTGGTCCCATTCAAATCAAAGCAAATCCCAAAAAACAGTTTTAGTGTTGTTTTTACCTTTAAGTGAGATCTAAAACGGCTGAATGTAACTGAAATACAGAAAAGCAGTTTGTTGAAAGGCTAATGCTAACTTCTGTTAAGTAAACAGAGTGTTGCTATGGTAACTAGAACTTTGTCTTCCCCGAGGGCAAAACAAGCTGAACCAGAACCAGCGCCTTGACAAAAGTAGCTTTAACTGCCATAGAACGTTTGTTGACAAAGGAGCAGAAGAAGCGACATTTGAAATGTACATGAAAAATGAAAGCCTCACCCATGGGCGTGTGAAGAGCCACGTGCTCCTGGTACGGGTTAAAGTATTTGTACTGTTTCCCACAGAATTCACACACGTAGCTCCCGGACTCTACACAACACACACAAACTGGTGGGTTAGTACAGTATTCAGGACTAGAGAGAGACCAGAGAGGGACCAGAGAGAGAGACCAGAGAGAGACCAGAGAGAGAGACCAGAGAGAGACCAGAGAGAGACCAGAGAGAGACCAGAGAGAGACCAGAGAGAGACCAGAGAGAGAGACCAGAGAGAGACCAGAGAGAGACCAGAGAGAGACCAGAGAGACCGGAGACGGACACCAAAGAGAGACCAGAGAGAGACCAGAGAGAGAGACCAAAGAGAGACCAGAGAGAGACCAGAGAGAGACCAGAGAGAGACCAGAGAGAGACTAGCGAGAGACCAGAGGGACCAGAGGGAAAGACCAGAGAGAGATTATTTGAATACACGTTATTGTATTTTGTGTCAACATAACCAGCGGCTGCAGATGGAAACTGTCCGACTATGATCCACTGCAAACCATGTGTGTTGGTCCCTTTCAAATTAAGACTAAACTAAACTAAACTAAAATCCACTTCTGATGCAGGGACTTTGCATTGAGGCACAGTGCAAAACGTTCCAAACATGTATAAATTAGATCTACCGTTTAAAATTCTTCCCTGCAAACCCTAATGTAGTTTGATGTTTTTGTAGCAGAGCGGAATGAATAGTTTGGAGGACATTGCAAAGATAAAAAGGTTAATTAAAATGCATTCCGTATTTTCAATAGTTTTATTCAGAATGTTCGGATCTCAAGGTGCCGCAAATTCCAGTAATGATTATCGTCCACAATAATGAGGGATGTACCAGTACGAACAAGATAGAACCAAGCCCTGGTCAAGATGTCTGCCCCTGGTCTCTCCAAGATGTCTGCCCCTGGTCACTCCAAGATGTCTGCCCCTGGTCACTCCAAGATGTCTGCCCTGGTCACTCCAAGATGTCTGCCCTGGTCTCTCCAAGATGTCTGCCCTGGTCACTCAAAGATGTCTGCCCTGGTCACTCCAAGATGTCTGCCCTGGTCACTCCAAGATGTCTGCCCCTGGTCTCTCCAAGATGTCTGCCCCTGGTCTCTCCAAGATGTCTGCCCCCGGTCACTCAAAGATGTCTGCCCTGGTCACTCCAAGATGTCTTCCCTGGTCACTCCAAGATGTCTGCCCTGGTCACTCCAAGATGTCTGCCCCTGGTCACTCCAAGATGTCTGCCCCTGGTCTCTTCAAGATGTCTGCCCCTGGTCTCTCCAAGATGTCAGCCCCCGGTCACTCAAAGATGTCTGCCCTGGTCACTCCAAGATGTCTGCCCCTGGTCACTCCAAGATGTCTGCCCCTGGTCACTCCAAGATGTCTGCCCCTGGTCTCTCCAAGATGTCTGCCCCTGGTCTCTCCAAGATGTCTGCCCCTGGTCGCCCCGAGAGACCCCAGAGAGAGACCAGAGAATACCTTTTCCAGATAATATAAAACCATGGATAAACTCACTTGGTCCAATCTTCTGGTATGGTTCCACTGGTTCTTCCTTCAGTCCGTCCACAGGCAGCAGCACTTGTTCATATGGATCTATGACACACGTTTATTTAACTTATGGTCCTTCAAACCAGCTGGAGAAAAGGAAAAATCATCCACCGACCGTCCACTGCGTGCAGGTCGCGGTGCTCCTGGAAACAGCTGTAGTATTTGTACTTCTTTCCACAGATGTCACAGGAGTAACGGAAGCTGCCTGTGGAGCGGAGGCAAGGTTAACTGTATAGCACACTACAAACTACAAGGACAATATATACAGTACTCTGCAGGCTCATGGTTATATATAGAGAGAGACCAGAGAGAGACCAGAGAGAGACCAGAGAGAGACCAGAGAGAGAGACCAGAGAGAGACCAGAGAGAGACCAGGGAGAGACCAGAGAGAGACCAGAGAGAGACCAGAGAGAGAGACCAGAGAGAGAGACCAGAGAGAGACCAGAGAGAGACCAGAGAGAGACCAGAGAGAGACCAGAGAGAGACCAGAGAGAGAGACCAGAGAGAGACCAGAGAGAGAGACCAGAGAGAGACCAGAGAGAGACCAGGGAGAGACCAGAGAGAGACCAGAGAGAGACCAGAGAGAGAGACCAGAGAGAGACCAGAGAGAGACCAGAGAGAGACCAGAGAGAGAGACCAGAGAGAGACCAGAGAGAGACCAGAGAGAGACCAGAGAGAGACCAGAGAGAGACCAGAGAGAGACCAGAGAGAGAGACCAGAGAGAGAGACCAGAGAGAGACCAGAGAGAGACCAGAGAGAGACCAGAGAGACCAGAGAGAGACCAGAGAGAGAGACCAGAGAGAGACCAGAGAGAGACCAGAGAGAGACCAGAGAGAGAGACCAGAGAGAGACCAGAGAGAGACCAGGGAGAGACCAGAGAGAGACCAGAGAGAGACCAGAGAGAGAGACCAGAGAGAGACCAGAGAGAGACCAGAGAGAGACCAGAGAGAGAGACCAGAGAGAGACCAGAGAGAGACCAGAGAGAGACCAGAGAGAGACCAGAGAGAGACCAGAGAGAGACCAGAGAGAGACCAGAGAGAGAGACCAGAGAGAGAGACCAGAGAGAGACCAGAGAGAGACCAGAGAGAGACCAGAGAGACCAGAGAGAGACCAGAGAGAGAGACCAGAGAGAGACCAGAGAGAGACCAGAGAGAGACCAGAGAGAGACCAGAGAGAGAGACCAGAGAGAGACCAGAGAGAGACCAGAGAGAGAGACCAGAGAGAGACCAGAGAGAGACCAGAGAGAGAGACCAGAGAGAGACCAGAGAGAGACCAGAGAGAGACCAGAGAGAGACCAGAGAAAGAGACCAGAGAGAGACCAGAGAGAGACCAGAGAGAGACCAGAGAAAGAGACCAGAGAGAGACCAGAGAGAGACCAGAGAGAGACCAGAGAGACCAGAGAGAGACCAGAGAGAGACCAGAGAGAGACCAGAGAGAGACCAGAGAGAGACCAGGGAGAGACCAGAGAGAGACCAGAGAGAGACCAGGGAGAGACCAGAGAGAGAGACCAGAGAGAGACCAGAGAGAGACCAGGGAGAGACCAGAGAGAGACCAGGGAGAGACCAGAGAGAGACCAGAGAGAGACCAGAGAGAGACCAGAGAGAGACCAGGGAGAGACCAGAGAGAGACCAGGGAGAGACCAGAGAAAGAGACCAGAGAGAGACCAGAGAGAGACCAGGGAGAGACCAGAGAGAGACCAGAGAGACCAGAGAGAGAGACCAGAGAGAGACCAGAGAGAGACCAGAGAGAGACCAGAGAGAGACCAGAGAGAGACCAGAGAGAGACCAGAGAGAGACCAGGGAGAGACCAGAGAGAGACCAGAGAGAGACCAGGGAGAGACCAGAGAAAGAGACCAGAGAGAGACCAGAGAGAGACCAGGGAGAGACCAGAGAGAGACCAGGGAGAGACCAGAGAGAGACCAGAGAGAGACCAGAGAGAGACCAGAGAGAGACCAGGGAGAGACCAGAGAGAGACCAGAGAGAGACCAGAGAGAGAGACCAGAGAGAGACCAGAGAGAGACCAGAGAGAGACCAGAGAGAGACCAGAGAGAGAGACCAGAGAGAGAGACCAGAGAGAGACCAGAGAGAGACCAGAGAGAGACCAGAGAGACCAGAGAGAGACCAGAGAGAGACCAGAGAGAGACCAGGGAGAGACCAGAGAGAGACCAGAGAGACCAGAGAGAGACCAGAGAGAGACCAGGGAGAGACCAGAGAGAGACCAGAGAGAGACCAGAGAGAGACCAGAGAGAGAGACCAGAGAGAGACCAGAGAGAGACCAGAGAGAGACCAGAGAGAGACCAGAGAGAGAGACCAGAGAGAGAGACCAGAGAGAGACCAGAGAGAGACCAGAGAGAGACCAGAGAGAGACCAGAGAGAGACCAGAGAGAGACCAGAGAGAGAGACCAGAGAGAGACCAGAGAGAGACCAGAGAGAGACCAGAGAGAGACCAGAGAGAGACCAGAGAGAGAGACCAGAGAGAGACCAGAGAGAGACCAGAGAGAGACCAGAGAGAGACCAGAGAGAGACCAGAGAGAGAGACCAGAGAGAGACCAAGGAAAGACCAGAGAAAGAGACCAGAGAGAGACCAGAGAGAGACCAGGGAGAGACCAGAGAAAGAGACCAGAGAGAGAGACCAGAGAGACCAGAGAGAGACCAGGGAGAGACCAGGGAGAGAGACCAGAGAGAGACCAGAGAGAGACCAGAGAGAGACCAGAGAGAGAGACCAGGGAGAGACCAGAGAGAGAGACCAGAGAGGACAGAGAGAGACCAGCGAGAGACCAGAGAGAGACCAGAGAGAGAGACCAGAGAGAGACCAGACAGAGACCAGAGAGAGACCAGAGAGAGAGACCAGAGAGAGAGACCAGAGAGAGAGACCAGAGAGACCAGAGAGAGACCAGAGAGAGAGACCAGAGAGAGACCAAGGAAAGACCAGAGAGAGACCAGAGAGAGACCAGGGAGAGACCAGGGAGAGACCAGAGAGAGACCAGAGAGAGACCAGAGAGAGAGACCAGAGAGAGAGACCAGAGAGACCAGAGAGAGACCAGAGAGAGAGACCAGAGAGAGACCAAGGAAAGACCAGAGAGAGACCAGAGAGAGACCAGGGAGAGACCAGAGAAAGAGACCAGAGAGAGACCAGACAGAGACCAGAGAGAGACCAGAGAAAATGACCAGAAAGAGACCAGAGAAAGAGACCAGAGAGAGACCAGAGAGAGACCAGAGAGAGACCAGAGAGGACAGAGAGAGACCAGAGAGAGACCAGAGAGAGAGACCAGAGAGAGAGACCAGAGAGAGACCAGGGAGAAAACATATGGTCTATTTATGGTTCACTTAATGGTTCTTGTGGAGGCAGAGAAAACCTGTGATCTAAACATAAGTCTTTAAGTCTCTCCTGACGTCTGTGAGTGACGTCTACAGCTGCCCTGGATACAGACGCAGATACAGACGTAGATACAGACATAAACACAAACGTAGACACAGACGCAGATACAAACGTATACAGACGCAGATAAAGATGTAGACGCAGACACAGACGCAGATACAGAAGTTGATACAGACATAGACGCAGACACAGATACAGACGTGGACACATACGTAAACACAGACGTAGATACAGACGCAGATACAGACAGACACAGACGCAGATACAGACGTTGATATAGACGTAAACACAGACGTAGACACAGACGCAGATACAGACGTTGATACAGACGTAGACGCAGACACAGACGTAGATACTGACGCAGATATAGACATAGACACAGACGCAGATACAGACGTAGACGTAGACACAGACACAGACGTTGATACAGACGTAGACGCAGACGTAGACACAGATGTAGATATAGACATAGACACAGACGCAGATACAGACGTAGACGCAGACGTAGACACAGATGTAGATATAGACATAGACACAGACGCAGATACATACGTAGACGTAGACACAGACACAGACGTTGATACAGACGTAGACGCAGACGTAGACACAGATGTAGATATAGACATAGACACAGACGCAGATACAGACAGACACCAGTATAGAAGCAGCTGTGGAGACACTCACTGCTCGGCGTTTGAGGCAGACTCTCTCCCACCATCCCCTCGGACTCTGCCACAGAAGAAAGTTAGAGTCAAAAGACCAGAACGAGCCTCGTCTTGATCGAGGAGCTTACCTCTGTGGGCCCTGACGTGGGTCTGAAAGCAGTTGTAGTATTTGTACTTTTTCCCACAGACGCCGCAGACGTAGGAGCCTGGAACACGAACGAGACACAAGTACCATCAACAGAAGAACCATCAACATTCACTATTGATTTCATTTCATTGAACAATATTATGAAGGGAAATGATTGTGTCCCTGGTTTACCGAGAGAGAGACCAGAGAGAGAGACCAGAGAGAGGCCAGAGAGAGACCAGTGAGAGACCAGAGAGAGACCAGCGAGAGGCCAGAGAGAGAGACCAGAGAGCGGCCAGAGAGAGACCAGTGAGAGACCAGAGAGAGACCAGCGAGAGGCCAGAGAGAGAGACCAGAGAGAGGCCAGAGAGAGACCAGTGAGAGACCAGAGAGAGACCAGCGAGAGGCCAGAGAGAGAGACCAGAGAGAGAGACCAGAGAGAGACCAGCGAGAGGCCAGAGAGAGAGACCAGAGAGAGAGACCAGAGAGAGGCCAGAGAGAGACCAGTGAGAGACCAGAGAGAGAGACCAGAGAGAGAGACCAGAGAGAGAGACCAGAGAGAGGCCAGAGAGAGACCAGAGAGAGAGACCAGCGAGAGGCCAGAGAGAGACCAGAGAGAGAGACCAGAGAGAGACCAGCGAGAGGCCAGAGAGAGAGACCAGAGAGAGAGACCAGAGAGAGGCCAGAGAGAGACCAGTGAGAGACCAGAGAGAGAGACCAGAGAGAGAGACCAGAGAGAGAGACCAGAGAGAGGCCAGAGAGAGACCATAGAGAGAGACCAGAGAGAGGCCAGTGAGAGACCAGAGAGAGAGACCAGAGAGACCAGAGAGAGACCAGAGAGACCAGAGAGAGACCAGAGAGAGACCAGAGAGACCAGAAAGAGACCAAACCCCGTTTCCAGGATCCAGGACACTCAACCTTAAAGGACTTTATAGCATTTACAGACATTTCTCTGCCGTTTATGAACCAATCTCTGTGTTTTTTATTGTCTCATTTGCATCCATTTTGTTTGTAAGTGTGACCATCAAAGGGCACACATGGTCCCCGCTCCTCTCTGCACCTTCGACATTCTCTACATTCTCCTTTCGTACCGTGGTTAAAAAAAAACCTGGCAAAGTAATCAGCCAGACCCTCCAGACTAAGACAGGGCCCTCACCATGATTGCAATCAGCAAATGCATGTGGACGGTATATTCACACACACCTATGCATGAGTCAGTGCTGGTCGTTGGAGGAGGAGTACCAAGGGCGAACATACCCTCAGCCTGAGCTCGCCGCGGTCCCAGTCCACCCGCCTCGTTCCCTCCAATCAGGACGCAGATCTCGGCCGGGTTTAGCTCCGCAGCTTTGCCATTGGTGGAGTCCAGTGGCTCCCGTTTGACGGCGGTGGGAGACGGAGAGGACGAGGCCAAAGCCGGAGAGGACTTCTTTACTGTGTGTGAGACGGTGAAATGAGAGAGAGTAGGGAGTAGGGAGAGAGAGCAGAAGAGACTACAGAGAGAGAGCAGGGAGAGAGACAGAGAGAGAGAGAGTAGGGAGTAGGGAGAGAGAGCAGGGAGGGAGAAAGAGAGAGTAGGGGGTAGGGAGAGAGAGCAGGGAGAGAGAGAGAGTAGGGAGCAGGGAGAGAGAGCAGGGAGAGAGACAGAGAGAGACCAAAGAGAGAAACCAGAGAGAGAGACAAAAGAGACCAGAGAGAGAGACACCAGAAAGAGAGCAGAAAGAGAGACAAGGGAGAGACCAGAGAGAGAGACAAAAGAGACCAGAGAGAGAGACACCAGAAAGAGAGCAGAAAGAGAGACAAGAGAGAGAGACCAGAGAGAGAGACCAGAGACAGAGACTAAAGAGACCAGAGAGACCAGAGAGAGAGACCAGAGACAGAGACTAAAGAGACCAGAGAGACCAGAGAGAGAGACCAGACATATCAAACATGTTGTGCTGCTGCTTTTCAATGTGGTTTTGAATCTGAGTCTGACAGTATCAGATGTGGACGTACGGTCTGCTGGGGGTCTTCCTGGTCTTCCTCTGGCCCCTCCCTCGTTAACCATCACACAGATCTCCGCAGTGTCTCTGGTTTTCCCGTTACTGGTCTCTAGGTTCCGGAGTTCCATCTTCAGCCCAGAGGAAGTGGAGCTCGCTGAGGTCGGAGACGTCCTTTTAGGAGCATCTACAAGAAACAAGATATAGTTTACCAGAGAGACCAGAGAGAGACCAGAGAGAGACCAGAGAGAGACCAGAGAGAGACCAGAGAGAGACCAGAGAGAGACCAGAGAGAGACCAGAGAGAGACCAGAGAGAGACCAGAGAGAGACCAGAGAGAGACCAGAGAGAGACAAGACAGAGACCAGAGAGAGACCAGAGAGAGACCAGAGAGAGACCAGAGAGAGACCAGAGAGAGACAAGACAGAGACCAGAGCGAGACCAGAGCGAGACCAGAGAGAGACCAGAGAGAGACCAGAGAGAGACCAGAGAGAGACCAGAGAGAGACCAGAGAGAGACCAGAGAGAGACAAGAGAGAGACCAGAGAGAGACAAGACAGAGACCAGAGAGAGACCAGAGAGAGACCAGAGAGAGACCAGAGAGAGACAAGACAGAGACCAGAGCGAGACCAGAGCGAGACCAGAGCGAGACCAGAGCGAGACCAGAGAGAGACCAGAGAGAGACCAGAGAGACCAGAGAGAGACCAGAGAGAGACCAGAGAGAGACCAGAGAGAGACAAGAGAGAGACCAGAGCGAGACCAGAGAGAGAGACCAGAGAGAGACCAGAGACAGAGACCAGAGAGAGACCAGAGAGAGACAAGAGAGAGACAAGAGAGAGACCAGAGAGAGATACCAGAGACAGAGACCAGAGAGAGAGACCAGAGACAGAGACAAGAGAGAGACCAGAGAGAGACAAGAGAGAGACAAGAGAGAGACCAGAGAGAGACCAGAGAGAGAGACCAGAGACAGAGACCAGAGAGAGACCAGAGAGAGCCTGCCTCACACTCAAACATGTTGCTTTAACAATTACATGTAGATGTCTTTGTTTTCAGTAGAAACATTGCAGACCGAGCAGCCAATAGCAACGAGGCTTTTTTAAATTGGATATTGAATTGCAAATGACACCAAAGCAAATGAGTCTAATCAAATTCTGAATTTAAATTGCCTGAATAATTAGTTCTGAATTTTCTGGCTGTGAAAAGGATTGTGATCTGAATTTTAAGTGTGTAAACTGGAAAATGTGTTGGTCACAAAATGTTTTGATCAGACGGAAAAGCGGCTGTCGAGAGTCCACCGCAAATCTGGAAACACAGGTCAGGAGAATAATAATAATGATAATTAAAGCCGCAAGCGGCGTCAAACGACCTCAGAGGAGGGGCCACTGATGCCCATCTGCAGACAGCCCTGATGAGAGAAACACTAAAGCCCAACGCACACCGAAACGCCTTGACGCGCGGCAAAAGAGCCGCCTCCTTTATTTTCTATGAGAGAACGCACACCAAGGTTGCAGTGACGCGCGGCGACGCTGGACCGGGCGCCACGATTCAGTTTTGTTGAATCCAGACGCGGTGCCGCGGCTGAAACTGTCCCTCCAAGCACCCGTAGTTTTCTTCTTCTGCGCTTCTTATCACGTAGCTGTGAGCGCGGTCTCAAATTTACACACTTGTCGGCGCTATTGCTCAAGTAAACCGGTCACAATGGACGAGGAAAGCTTGATAACCCAAGTACAGCGTTACCCAGAGCTAGTTATTAGCCTGTTTAAAAAATGGGTCCAAATAGTCTTTTCTTGTAATATTTGCCAGCATAATTTCACGTAAATACTTTGTTTCCTCCCCCAAAATATTAGTAGAAACTTCCAAACGTCACTCACCCATTTCATCTGCGATCAGCTGGAAAAGGACGCTAGCCAAGGCGTTCCGGTGTAATTTGACACATGTCATGAACGCGCGTCAAATGACGCGCCGCGAGGCGCTGCGTTTCGGTGTGCGGTGAGCTTAAGACTATATGGGACAATGCACTTCCTGTTTGTCAGAGGGCGTGGTCACAGCACAATGTTTATCTTGTATTGAGGTGAAAAATACATTTACCAAATATTGTAGCTCTACCAGGGCTCAAAGTCTCTTCACATCATTATCCTTTCTCTCCAAACACAGTGGTGATAAACTACTGTAGCCACAGCTGCCCTGGGGCACACTGACAGAAGCGAGGCAACCAGTCTGTGCCATTGGCCCCTCCCACCACCACCAACCATTCACACACACACCAGACTCATTCTAATGTGGGGGAAGTGTCTTGCCTAAGGACACAACCACAGTTTGGCACTTTGCAGCCGCAGTCGCAGACAAACTCGACATGTTTTGAGCTTTGAATTTGGACTTGAATTAAATCTAATCCTTTTTATTTTGAATTAAAAACTCTTTGAAGTTGAGACGGAAACTTCTAATTCTGATGAAACAGAGGATCCTGGACCGTCTTCGCTGCTTTGAAACTGAGGGAAATAAACATATTAAAATGTGAAAATGCAAATGTGTCATTTTGAAATTTTAATCACATTGAAATATGTGAAAATAAGGAAAAATATTCAAACATGTTTTTAATTTTTAAACTTTTCAACTGGAAAAACTCAAACTCAGTAAAAAATCTAAATCTCATGTCACAAAAAACCCTCCATAAAAAGGGTCCGAACCAAAAAGACTCAAGACCAGCAGCAGCAAAGTGCTGTAGTAACCGTAGTAACCGTGACTGTAGAAACCGTGACTGTAGTAACCGTGACTGTAGTAACCGTAGTAACCGTAGTTACCATAGTAACTGTAGTAACTTACTCTCAGCCGGAGCGTAGCAGGAGGCCGCCCCGTCGCTCCCGGGACACATCTCTGGACTGGACTCTTCCAGGGTCCCGTTGCTGGTCTCGGTCTCGGTCTTCACGGCGGGGGGGGGACTGGAGGCTTCAGAGGCCCCCGCTGGAGAGGGGCCCCTGTCCTTCACTGGGAGGGGTTCTTCTGGTCCACTCATGGCTCGTCGCCTTCTGGCTCCTGCTGCGGGACCAGGAAACAGTCAGTGATAGTCCTGGACCATGGACACACAACGGACACACAACAGACACACAACGGACACACAATCGACTGAGAATAGAGACCTGCACTGGAAAAAATGATCAAAAGTTTTGTGTCTCATCCTGAGCCCATTCTGAGTGTCTGTGAAGGTTTCCTCCAGGTGCTCCGGTTTCCCCTACCACTAAAAACATACAATCAGTAAAACCCTCCAGCTCTGGTTCTGACCCAGAGCATCACCACCTGTTACTACGGCGACCGCTGACAGAGGCTGGGGAGGCTGCGAGGACGGGTCAAATGTAAACGACAGAGTTCTATATCTTATGTTCAAGTCTTTCTTGTTTGAACTGAACAGAAACTGACCCAACGTCAGTTTTACTAAAAACATGTAGATCCAGAGTCAATTGGTCGACTTCCAGGTGAAACCAATGTAAAATACTTATGTTTCAGTAAAAAAGAGAGACCAATGTCTCTACACTGCAAAAAATGATCAAATATGATGTGTTTTTACCAAAATCTGACAAATTGTGAGATTTAGTCTGATTTCCAGAAAAGAGACATTTCTGAATCTTTTTAAAACCAGATCATTTTGTTTTTGTCCCGTTGGAGAATCTGGGTTTAGGCTCGGTCAGAATGTGTCGGATTAAGATATTTTGTGCCAAATTAGAGACATTTTTGCCTCATTTCCTTCCCTTTTGCAGAGTGTGGACAGAAACACAAACATTCTGTTGGAAACTTCTAATTACAGTTATTACATCAGTATCAGTGTTATTATTACACTCATACATTTCTTTCATGGTCAAATGTTCCTCCAGGATCTGAGAAAAACCAAAAGAGAAACCAGTGAATCTGAGACGTTTGAATCATAAAACTCCACAAACAGGAAGCTCGTTCATTTCAATAGAAAATATAAAAATAAAATCTATCTTTTTCACAGATGTCGGTTGGAAAGCGACTCGTCCTCAGCCGTTTCACCTCAAATCGCTCCACATGGTCTCAACACATGGACCATCAGAGCCCATCAGCGCCCCCTACAGACGATGCCAAAGTTTTAATGGAGATGTCATCTGGATTCAAAAAGTCAAAATACCCAAGCCTTATTTTTTTACCCTGTTGCCATGGCGACGTCTATGTAAAAATTGTTAAATTTCTGAAAAGTACACCTCGCTCAAACATCAAACCAGCCGCTGCCGTTTCACTAATTTGTCTGAAAATCGCTCCACATGGTCTCAACACATGGACCATCAATAGTTGAATATAGAATTTTAATTAGTTAAACGGTCTGAGCGTGACAGACTCCCAAAGTGTGGTTATTTTCATACAGAGGTGTGAAGGTCCCATGTTATCCAATGGAGACTGTATGGACACACTCACAGATTGTATGAACAAACAGGAGCACATTTACAAACTCTGATTTGCACTAAACTTGACTCGGTTGTTCCACTCCTGGGCCTAGGTCATATGACTGTGTGAACAATGACATTGGCCCATTATCGCCCCCTACAGAGTGAGCCAAAGTTTTACATCGAGAGAATGACATTTACTTTTTCGAAAATGTTTTACAAATAATTCTGTTTTAGCATCCTGATTCAAAAAGTCAATAAAGGACCAAGACTTAATTTTTACCCTGTTGCCATGGCAACGACAAACACTTCCCATTCTGTGTCTATGTGAAAATCATTAAATCTCTGAAACGTACAACTCGCTCAAACATCAAACCAGCCGCGGCCGTTTCACTAATTTGTCTGAAAATCACTCCACATGGTCTCAACACATGGACCATCAATAGTTGTTCATAGAATTTTAATTAGTCAAACGGTCTGCGCGTGACAGGCTCGCATGTTTGGGTTCTTTCTACAGAGACTCATGAAAGTTCCCATGTCAATCACTGATCATAGGTACTGAAAATACACAGTGTCGCTTCCATCAGGGCCATTCGACGCCGCTTGCTGCTTTAATTTATAATTGTTTGTCTGGTCCAGCACCATAAAAATAAACTCGCTGGTGTTTGGTAGAGACCGGTAGAGTCCTGGCTCCTGGTGTCCGTCCTCCAGACTCTAACCCACATGGTACTAACTGTGTCAGTTTTTATTAATATAAAGTAATCTCTTCTTCAGGTTCGCTACAGTAAAGAGTTTTATTTTTAGTCCTGCCACAGATAAAAGATGCAAAGATGCAGAAATATTTTAGGTCAGCAAACTTAGCGTCCCATTTACTGTCGAAGCCGCGCTGCCAATCTGAGAGACCGAGAGACAGAGACCGAGAGACCGAGAGACAGAGAGACCGAGACCAAGAGACCGAGAGACCGAGAGACCGAGAGACCGAGAGACCGAGAGACAGAGAGACCGAGAGACAGAGACCAAGAGACCGAGAGACAGAGAGACCGAGAGACCGAGAGACAGAGACCGAGAGACAGAGAGACCGAGAGACAGAGAGACCGAGACCGAGAGACAGAGAGACCGAGAGACAGAGACCGAGAGACAGAGAGGCCGAGAGACCGAGAGACCGAGACCAAGAGACCGAGAGACAGAGAGACCGAGACCGAGAGACAGAGAGACCGAGAGACCGAGAGACAGAGAGACAGAGAGACAGAGACCGAGAGACCGAGAGACCGAGAGACAGAGAGACAGAGAGACCGAGAGACCGAGAGACCGAGAGACCGAGACCAAGAGACCGAGAGACCGAGAGACAGAGAGACCGAGACCGAGAGACAGAGAGACCGAGACCGAGAGACAGAGAGACCGAGAGACCGAGAGACAGAGAGACAGAGAGACAGAGAGACAGAGAGACAGAGAGACAGAGAGACAGAGAGACAGAGAGACCGAGACCGAGAGACAGAGAGACCGAGAGACAGAGAGACAGAGAGACAGAGAGACAGAGAGACCGAGAGACAGAGAGACAGAGAGACAGAGAGACAGAGAGACAGAGAGACAGAGAGAGAGAGAGAGATCGATTTACATCTGAGGAAAATTACATTATTTCTAGATTTTTAAGGATTTTTCTACTTTTGGTTGATTTAGTTCTTAGAGTTTTCCTCACAAATACATCACAAACATGTAATGGATGAAGCAAAACAAGCAGTGATCCTCAGCAATGAAACAGGCCAAGCTCTGGTCCACGAGCCAGATCCGGCCCAACGGACATTTCTTTGTGGTCCATAAATGTCACATGACTTTCTATTGTTATTGTTCATGAGCAGCATCGACGACCACGGCTGCCATGGCACGATACGCCTCATTTTAAAACAGACTATCAAGAAAACAACCATATTCACTAAAGTATTCTATCAGTCATTACAGGACTGATTAATTACATACTTAAATATAAAAATTGACCTTTCCGTAGTTTTCATATTTGGTCCAGTTTTGGTTCAATCCAATTTTCAAACAAAAGTAGTAATATATTTGCCAAAAAATGTGTAAAATATATATTTATGTAAACTCCCGCTTCTCAGCAAGAAGGTCCTGGGTTTGAATCCCAGTCAGAACAGGGCCTTTCTGAGTGGAGTTTGCATGTTCTCCTCGTGTTGGCGTAGGTTTAATTACTGAGGGTAAAGTACTAAAATTAAAGGATTGTAAAGTTACTTGGATGATCTTTAATACTGGCTTCAGGAGGAGGACTGTTGTTGGTGTTTTGGTATTTGTCAGTTTTCTGGCAGAACTCTCACGACTGCGACACATTTCCCAGAGTGACTCAGTCTACAGCCTCAGTCCTGGGTCTACAGCCTCAGTCCTGGGTCTACAGCCTCAGTCCTGGGTCTGCAGCCTCAGTCCTGGGTCTACAGCCTCAGTCCTGGGTCTACAGCCTCAGTCCTGGGTCTGCAGCCTCAGTCCTGGGTCTACAGCCTCAGTCCTGGGTCTGCAGCCTCAGTCCTGGGTCTACAGCCTCAGTCCTGGGTCTACAGCCTCAGTCCTGGGTCTGCAGCCTCAGTCCTGGGTCTACAGCCTCAGTCCTGGGTCTACAGCCTCAGTCCTGGGTCTACAGCCTCAGTCCTGGGTCTACAGCCTCAGTCCAGATTGTAGCCATGAGCTCATTTCCATCCGTTGTCCCACATTCGCTCTCACAAACACAAAATCATTCACCTGAACTATGGCACATATTTTTAGTGGTAGGGGAAGCCGGAGCACCCGGAGGAAACCTACGCAGACACAGGGAGAACATGTAAACTCCACTCAGAAAGGCCCTGTTCCGACCGGGATTCGAACCCAGGACCTTCTTGCTGAGAGGCGAGAGTGCTAACCACTCAGCCACCGTGCCGCCGGTCCTTGCCTCTCTCCTTGTGGAGCTGTTTGAGTTGCCTTGTACCTGTGCTATACAAATAACCTTGTTCTGCCTAATCTCTCTCAGCTGCGTTTCACTTCGTTTGATTTAAAGGTGATTTTGACGACACACTGTCTCCACGCGGCTCGAGGCTTGTGTCGCTGTAATGGATATTGGTTTAGATCGATCGGACGCTTTGGGATCAATGAACCTCAATATGGTTTTCATGTATTATTCAAAACCCTTATTTTAGACTAAAATCAAGCAACAAGGACCAGAGGGAGACCAGAGAGAGACCAGAGAGAGACCAGAGAGAGACCAGAGAGAGACCAGAGAGAGAGACCAGAGAGAGAGACCAGAGAGAGACCAGAGAGAGACCAGAGAGAGACCAGAGAGAGAGACCAGAGAGAGACCAGAGAGAGACCAGAGAGAGACCAGAGAGAGACCAGAGAGAGACCAGAGAGAGGCCAGAGAGAGACCAGAGAGAGACCAGAGAGAGACCAGAGAGAGACCAGAGAGAGGCCAGAGAGAGGCCAGAGAGAGGCCAGAGAGAGGCCAGAGAGAGACCAGAGAGAGACCAGAGAGAGACCAGAGAGAGACCAGAGAGAGAGACCAGAGAGAGACCAGAGAGAGACCAGAGAGAGACCAGAGAGAGACCAGAGAGAGGCCAGAGAGAGGCCAGAGAGAGACCAGAGAGAGACC